TAGGTTAAATAAAATATATTATTAAAATGTAGTTCATCCTCTTTTTATTTAAGTGGCTACTAGGAAAACTTTAAATTACCTTTGTGGGTTGCATTGTGTTTTTATTGGATAGTGCTATTCTAGACTACTGACAACCTGATATGTTCATGCTATTTATGAAATCAGCCTGCAACATTTTTCACTACTTAATACACCAGACAATGGAAAGCCAGCTGAGCCACTTACATTAGAAGTAAGATAGGTCCCTTCGTTTCTCTGAGCCTCGGTTTCCTCATTTATAAAATGGAAGATAATGAAATCTACCTCACTGTGTTGTTGTGAAGATTGAACAAGGTAATTATATCTATAGGCTTACTTAGTACAGTGCGTGGCATTTAATCAAAGTTTGATCAGCGGTGGCGATGATTAACACCAGTCCTACTGGGTATCTGCAAATTAGCAAAGAAGAAAGTATTTGTGGTGTCACATTAACAGATGAATCTGTCATCATGACATATTTGTTCTTCATGTTAACCATCAACAAGCTAGACGTGCTCATCCAATAAAAATGGCTGATGTTTATTGAGTGCACAGTATGATGCAGGTACTGTTATGCATTGAACATGCATCACCTTATTTCATCCTTACTGTGGGGGGGTATGTGCTGATGGTCAAATTACAGTCAGAAACTGAGATTCAAGGAGGCAAAAGAGCGTGCTCCAGGCCCCACAGCGATTAAGGGATACTGTGAGAATTCAACAGGCTCTAAATGATTTCACTAGGCTGCTTCCCAGGGCAGGTGTAGTTAGGTATCCTGGTGACATGGCAGTTGTAGTCCCGGGGATGGAGAGGCCTCTGAGAGCTATTCCTGGTGCACACTGGCAAGACCACCACTGGTCTCCTTCCTCATCCTTGAATGCTGACTGAGCTCCTGGGCATGTGTCAGTCACTTAGGCTGTTAGGGGCAGAGGCTCATTTGGTAAGGTATCTAATAAAAAAGGAAGACAGGAATTTTGGTCACTTGGCCATGCCTCACAAAAATTCAGGGAAAACTGGACCCTGGGCCATGTGGAACACAGATGTGGTTTGGAAATTGAAATATCATCCTCCCCCGAGAAGAGTTCTAGAAATGGTCCCTCACCTGCAACAGGAGCTCAGTGCTCTGTACCTTGAGATCCTGTGGTTAAAGGGACTCAACCCCTCTGTCTCTTCCTGTTTCTGTTCCTGCGACCAATCACAACTCCCCAAGAGGAAAACCTGCTCTTAGTCCTAGACCAAGGTCACCGGGTTAGGGCTGCCCTCAGGTGGCAGTGCTTCCCTAATCCACTGAGCTGTGGTCGAGGTGAGCAAGGGGGCTGCAGAGTTGGCAGAGACGGAGCCTGCCTTCAAGACATGCACAGCCCAGTCTGACTGGCCAGTCCCAACTTGAATGGGCCACCACCCTCACCACACAGCAGCCATTCATAATCAGGCACAGCATAGCAGTAGTTTCTTTGGCCTCCTGCCCCCCCAGTTCCCTGGGCCTGGTACCCCAGAGGAAAGCTTCCTACCACTCCGTCTACACTGTAATGGACGCAGCAGGACTGCCGTGAACGCCCAGAGGTGAGAGGCCCTCCCTTGACTCCAGTCACACCTGCCAGGTGAGGCCTTCCCTGTCTGCTCAGTTTCAGATGCCACTCCCCCTCTTGCCCCACACTTCCTGTCTCGTTTCCCTGCTTCATTATTTTTTCCCTTAGCCCTTCTCTAACACACTACACGCTTTAGTACTTTATTTATGGTCTGTCTCTGTCCTCTAAAATGTTAAGTACCATAAAGACGGGTTTGCTCTTTTGCTGACCAATTCCTAGAATGGTGCTGCACATGATTGACACTGGGTATGAAGGAAAAGAAGGGCCAGGAATCTAGTCTGGCTGGGGGTTTAGCCAAGGAAGCCTTCCTGAAAGAAGTGACACAAGCTGAGTCAGGCCAGCCTCGGACATGGAGGATGCATTCCAATCATGTAGGCCGGGAAAGGGAGAGCATGTTCAGGGGCCTTCAGCAGTAGCACGGCTGAGGCCTCTGGTGCTCCCGGGGGGTGGCGGGTGGGGTGAGGATGGAGAGGCAGACCATGGGCAGTGAGGAGGGCCCCGCAGGTACCCTGGAGAATGGAATGGCAATGCTAGGGCTGAGGCTCAGATGGGGCCAGGGGGGCAGAGGGCAGGGGAGGGCAGACCAAGAGGCTGGGCCAGGGGCAAGGATCGTTTACAATTTGAAAGTGAACGAGTTGTTGACAGAGGAAAGCTGAGCTCTGAGTGCGGACTGTGCGCCAGCTGCTGCAGTGAGGACCTCCCTGATCTCCCTGGGCCGGCTTTGTACTAGGGTGCCGCAGAAACAGGGCAACGGATGGCTGACACCTCCGCAACCTGACCAGTTGGGCTTACTGGGAAGGACATTTTGGTGATGCTGGGCCAAGCCACGGTCAGTGATCCGCCTCCATAGCCCCAAGACGCCCCTCCCTTGGCCGTTTCAGCAACCATGGCAATGTCAGCTCCTTTCTTCCCCAGCACTCCATCGCTGCCCCCTCCTACACATCATGGACCAAGTGGCAGCAGAGATGCCCCAGGCCACAGGACCGAGGTACGGGGCGGGGAGGCAGTTAAGAAAATGATGAGAAAATAAAGAGAATAAAGGGGAGGGGAATGCCATGTACAGGGCTCCCCAAAGCTGACACAGCGCTATGGAAGCTGGCGGGAAGCTGCCTGAGGTGGGGGGCTGGTCAGTGTGAGAGAAAAAGACATCTACAAATAGCAAGGCAACAACCAAGAGTTAAACTTCACCGGAAAGGAACTTGGGCCAAGTTGGGGAAAACGCGTTCATTTTTCACGAGAGGACCAGGGCCACGGTTGGATGACACCGGCCCAGAGAGTGGAGTAGGTGGGGGGACCTTCACGAGAGAGTGGGTGACGTTGGGTAGTTCAGGAGGGGGGCAAGAGGGAAAGAAGGGCCTTTGCCAGAGCCGGTGGGCAGAGCAGACGCTTCAGCCCCAAGAACGCCTCCTGTGGACTGAGGCCATCAAGGTGCTGAACTCACAAAGGCAGGCCTGACTACCTGGTTCTGACCTCAGCCCTGATCAAGGTGATTTCAATTTCCATGCAAGGAATGGACAATTAATGCCTCCCTTTCTCCCTCTGCGGGGCACACCACTGCCATTCTGTCACTGAACAGAACTCCCAGAGACCAAATCTACCATGTGGCAACAGCAACAGAAACCCCAACACCTAGCCTTTGCCTACCCCAGCCCCAGAGCTCTCCAAAGGACAGGTGTTCCTTGTCCATGCCACACCCGCCCCTGCTCAGAACCATCTCCCAAAATCCCCCAGGGGAACCCTGGCCCCAGCACTCAGGGCACTCCTGCCTCCTCCAGGGCTTCAGCCCGACTCTGCCTCTGTGTCCATCCCACCGTCATACTCTTTTCCAAAGCCCGGGCCCAGATGTCCTTCAGCCAACAATTCTAACGTTTTCCTTTTCTCCCAAACCTGAGCCCCCCAGAGGCACTTGGGATTGTTCAACCCCTAGTCCAAATTCTACATCCCATCTCCTATCCTTAGGTCAGCCTTGGGAGTGTGCTAAGCGGAACATCTCAGTGAGTAAAATATGGAAGATGTCATGACCCACCCCATGATGGCACATGGAGGTATGGGCTTAAAAAGACAAGAAAAACAACAAAAACAAGCAGCAGGGCAGTTTCAAGATTTATTGGGTGCGTGAGAGGACAACGATGCACAGTACAGAAAACTCTTGGTTCTAAAAAGTTACGGGAGGAGTAGGCGGGGAGACGTGGAGGCTGCTGGACAACGTGACCCAGGTGGAAGGGAACCGGTCTTCCTGGTTCATGGTGCTCGGTGACACCGCTGGGGGAGTGGCAGAACCAGCTGAAGTCTCTAGCTCTGGACCACAAGCCTCCAGGGTCCCAGGGCTTTCCCTCTGGCCTGCTCACACAGAGAGAAAAGTCCTTCCATGCTGTGCTGAGGCAACAGGGTAAGGTCGGGTGATGCTTCACATGGCAACATTATTCTTCATCACACCACTCTAGTGTCCACGATCAATCCCAACATAATCTAAAGGAGAAAGTCCAATGAGGCCAGCAGCCTGGAATTTCCATATCAGAAACACAGGCCAACTTAGCCCCTTGGCATTAACTCACCATGAGGAGTTCTCTCCAGGGCAGCTGGGACCTCTCATCCTGAGAGGGCCAGTGCCTCCATGCCCTCTGGCTTCCTCCAGCAATCTCCAGATCCAAGGCAGCTCTCCTAGAGTGAGGAGGACGCCACAGAGCAGGTGGTCACAACAAGTGTCTGGGTTCCAACATGATCTCATCTTTCTCTAAGCTGTTATCAATGAGAAAGCCCCAATTAATCAGGCATGAGCTGCCAGGTTTTTTTCACCCCAAACACAGCTCAAAAATGAATCTCAGTGCTCACAGAGAAGAATCAAAATAAACACGGTCTTAAAAAATGGGTGTTTTCAGGACAAGAGCAGATATAGTAATTGGTAGACAGATGGCTGGAGAGCTAAAGCTCAGAGGCTCCTCCCACTGAGCCCCACACCCACACCCCCCAATTGGGAGTGAAGGCCCCCATTTAAGCCTCCCTCCGTTGTCATTACATCCCTGTACGTCTGTCTCCCAGGTGCTTGTGCTCACCCTAGCGTCAAACTCCTCTTCGTGCTGCTCCGCCCACCACCACCCAATACACATTGCCCATCACATCACATTTGGACCACCAAATCCAAAAAGCTGCTTTCCTTTGAAAACCTAATGGCAATCAGTATAAACCACCCATATCACACAGTATCCTTATGCAGAATTCATCCTGGGTCTTTAAACCCTATAAAGTACCTAAACTTGGACACAAACATAGCCCGGTTTCCCACAACGGGAGGCCAAGCTGAGAAAGGCCAAGCTACAGAGTCCCGTCATTGACTCTCACACAGCAGCACTCAATGCCTGAGACCAGAGAGCACTAGCTGGAGAGGAGCAGGAGTGTGTGAAAGCGTCAGCATTTGGAAGGGACAGGTGTGGACCCTCCAAATACGGGAAGCCACTTTCAACAATTCCTCTCCCTGCATTATCAATTGACCAGAGCACAGGCAGCCCATGATCGCTTTTGAATGCAGGGGCATGAAGGGCAGAGAGAGACCTAGGAAGAGAAGCAGGCACTACTAGCCTTTGGAATAGACTGAATCTGGGGAAACCACCCAGCCAAGCACAGGACCTCAGGAGTGGCCATTCTTGCAAAAGTCCCATAAAACCTCCCTGCCAAGGGGAATCAAAGAGAAGTCACTTTGGGCAAAAACACTGTGAAAATCGTAGGGTTGGAAATGACAGGAATCCCGTGGTCTTTTTTTTTTTTAAGATTTTATTTATTTATGAGAGACAGAGAGAGAGAGAGGCAGAGGGAGAAGCAGGCTCCCAAGGAGCAAGGAGCCCGACGCAGGACTTGATCCCAGGACCCTGGGATCATGACCTGAGCTGAAGGCAGACGCCCAACCATCTGAGCCACCCAGGCGCCCAGGAATCCTGTGGTCCTAAGCAGCACAGAAATCACCTCTGTCGTAAGTTGGTTTCTTAAATGAAGAAAATGAGGTTCTGAATAGGTCACCGAGAGAGCAGCACAAGGGGATTCAAAGCCAGGGACGGGAGTCTCTGATGTGTGGGTCTCATTTCCAATTACAACATGCTTCTGCCGTCACTCCAAGGACAGAAGGCAGGCACCCCAGAGAGCTCTCATTACCCAGCGGGACTCTGGAGACTCTTCCTCTGCAGCAAGCGCTGAGGACGTATCAAGGGCCAGATGTGATCTAGGTTGTCTGGGATTGAGGGACAGAGCTGGGGACTCACGGACATTACCTTCTCACCTCTCAGCTCCCCTATATCTTCATATGAAGTCGCTAGGAACCCACACTTGACTATACCAGATGCAAGGAACCAACACTCCAGAGAAAAGACAAGAAATCTTACCTCAAGGACACTGGGGTCTAGAATATTCCTGATACAACTCCCATGATGGCTCTGCACATGGTGGGCTCATCTGCAACAGACCAAAACCCAAAAATGGGTACCAACTTGTCCCTGCTCACAGCAAGGCATGGTAGGCATCAGGAAAGGGCTTAGCACAGTAGTTACCAGAGAGTAAAGTAAGCGTTCGACAAACGTTGGCTGTGATTATTTCCTCCACAGACACACTATTTCCTCGTAAAAAGGACAGTAGTTAACTCTAAAGAGGGAGACAGTGTGTGGTCTACGACAGGGTGGCCAATGCTGATGAATGCATTGTTAACCAGGGATAGGCTGAAAAGGAGGCCAAGGCCAGATTTACAGGAGTGTGCCATGGCTGCCCAGCAGCAACTACGCTGGACATCGAGGAAAACTCAAGTAACACACACAGCCTGGCTCCCAACAGCACGGATAGGAAGCCAAAGGCCAACAGTGACACTAATGCCACACCACTGCCCCCCGAGGCCCAACGTGTCTGCGGAGAAGATGGAATGTGGGAAAACTCCTGAAGGTGAGGATGTGGACTCTCCAAACACAGGACAACCCTTCTCTGAATCCTTCACCTATACTACCCATGAGCACGACACTGGCACCAGGTGACAGGAGACATCAAAAAGGTGGTAGAAAGGAGGAAGTGTGGGAATGCTCCAGGTCTGGAAGGGACAGGAAGGGATCCTCCAAACATGGGGAAACACTTTCAGCAAATCCTTTCCCTGCACTATCAATGACCTAGACACGGGCACCCCAGGTTAGCAGCCTGCTATCTTCCCAGGCAGGGGAAAGCTGCCCGGCCAAGCCCAGGACCTGGAGCATCATCACCACTTCATGTAAAGATTCCACCTCCCATCACCAAAGGGAAGACTAACTCCTGGCAAAAACACCGACATCGTTTATTCACCCCACACATACAGCCTGAGTACCTGCTACGTGTCAGGCACCCTGGGCTCAAAAACAAAGGACACACATGAGACCTCTGTCCTCCCAGAGCTCTGGCAGTTTCCCCACTTAAAAGTGAAGCTTAGGACAAGGAAGGAACTGAGCCAAGGTTATGCGGCTGGCCAGGGGTGGGCTGAACCAGGATCTGAACCCAGACCTCTCTGACCCCAAACCCACCCCACCTACCACACCACACCCCCTTCTGCACAAGGGCTTTGCAAGAAGGGTCTCAGAACCTGAGCTCCAGGACCACCCTCTCCCCTCCCCCCTCACCGCGCTGTGGCAGGAAGGCAAGGAGCTCCCTGGTCAAGGTGCTCACGCGCAGCAGCACTTACCCAGCAGGCCTCACCCCTGCACACAAGGGCGGCATCAGGAGCTGCGGATCAGGGTCCTGCAGGGCAGAAAGGGGTGCTGCCTGCGGCACCGCCCGCAAAGCCATCCAAGGGACAGTCTCCATCTGCTCCCAAGAGAGCAGAGCCCGCACGGCCTGGGCACGGGAGAGAACCGGGAAGGGGCTTTAGTGCCAAGCAGGGAGGCAGGAATCACACGCTGCCCCTCCGCGGCCCCGCGAGCGCCCCCACCTGAAAGCTCAGACAACCGCTCTGCACAACCCGGGCTTTCACACTCCGTTAAAGACAGGTGACGCCAAAACGGGTTCACACTCCTCAGGTCACTCCGTAGGCAACCGATGAACGGCTCTGGGGGACTCAAGGCCCGGAGCCGGGGGTGGGTGAGTGCGTGAAAACCGCGGGGTCCGGGGCGCCCCTCGGGCCCGGGAACACAAGCGGCTGCGCGGCCCGCGCGTCGCCGAACCCGCTGCTGGTCGTTAGCGCGACCGGAGTCTTCCCCGCGGGCGGGCTGAGGGCGGGGGATCGGACCCGGGGCCCCTTTCTCGAGGACCCGCCTCCCGAGAGATCCGCACCCGGCGGAGGGGCCGGACACGGAGCCAGGAGCCGGGCCCGGAATCCGGGCTGACCTCCGCCGGCTCTCCCCGCCCCCTCGGGCCTCAGTTTCTCCTCCTGTCGGGGAAGAGAGGGGATGCAGCACCGGTCTTGGAGGCCGCCGGGGGTCCCTGTGCAGCGCTGCCCCGCAGTGACTCACCCGGGGCGCCGGGACTGTCGTCGGCGGGGTCAGAGAGAACCACGCGAGAAGGTGCGGCACGGTTCGGGACGGTTCGGAACGGTTCGGGACCGCTCGGGAGGGCGGCTGCAGCCGCAGGAAACCCCCTCCCGCGTCCGTCCAGCGCCGGCGGAAATGCATCTGGGGCGCGGGCTGCAGCCTAGAGCGGCGTCTCCCAGGCTGAACCCGGGCGCGCGGTCTCTTTGCGCCTCCTCGTGGATAGGAGGTGAAAATCTGAGCGGCCAGGTATCCGGGCATCCCTTTCATCATTGCATCCATCCATCTATTCATCCGGAAAATATTTAGGGAGCACCAGCTTTCTCATCCATTCATCCACCCACTCACCCAAACACCCATCCATTCATACATCTATATGTTCATCTAGACTCCCATCCCCCCAGAAAAATCTACAGAGCAGCAACCTCGTATCAGGGACTGGGCTAAGCATTGGAAATATATTGAAGACAGACAGGTTTTCTGATTTTTTTGTTGTTGTTATAATATTCTCGTAGGAATAATGAGTCAGCGAAGGCAATAATTAAAAATCATAACAAGTCAGGACGTCTGGGTGGCTTAGTTTGTTAAGCGTCTGCCTTTAAAACTCTTAAAGAGTTAAAAAAAATCATGATGAGTGCTACAAAGGAAATGGGCAGGGTGGTATAACAGTGGGAATGTACTTAGCCAGGGTGGACAGCAAGGGCCTGCCTGGGGGAATAACAGTGTTTTTCTTAAAAAAAAAATTTTTTTTTTAAATTTATTTGTCAAGAGAGAGAGAGCACAAGCAGGGGTTGCAGCCGGCAGGGGGAGAAGCAGGTTCCCCACTGAGCAAGGAGCTGGAAGTGGGACTCGATCCCAGGACCTTGGGATCATGACCCCAACCGAAGGCAGACGCCCAACCGGCTGACCCACCCGGGCGTCCCCAACAGGGTTTTTCATAGCATGGTATCTGTCACTCCAATGCCCTATCCCATCAACGACAGAGGACACTACTACTATAATGTTAAATCATCACTAAGTTTTGAGCGCACATTATATTCCAGGATTTTGATCTATTTAATCATCATATCAATCCTATAAGGCAAACAATATTCTTATCCATTTTGCTGATGAGGAAACAAAAGCTCAGAAAGTTTACTTAATGTGTCCAAGATCATGCAGTTCATATGTGTTAAGAACTGTGCATGATCTGAGAGTGAATCCTACTTGCGAGCTAAACAGTTAGCCTATTGTTTCGTGGATGCTGGCAGAAGACACAAAATTCCTGAGTCAGTCTTAGGACCTTATTACTGTGGCAAAGCAGAGAGAGCTTTATGTTCATATGTTGGTTCCTATTCTTCATAGGTCCCATGGGGTGGTGCTGGGCCCATGACAGCTGCCTGCACACATACTGTGTTAATGTTACAGGATAGGGCCACTGAGCTTGGGGGGATTCACCACTTACAGCCAACAGAAGTAAGCCTGATTTTAGTCTGGGAGGAGGCTTTTCTCATCCTTCAAGGTTTCTCACTGCAAAACACAGCTCTGAGAAAGGGCCCAGGTAAAGAGGAGTCAAGACCTTGCATTCTTAGCATATCCTGAAAGAACGTGCATAGATGCTCAGGGCCCATGGCAGATTGCTTCTTCTAACAGTAGGTATCAGAGTCAAAATTCAAACCCAGAAATCAATCTCAGAGCAATTTAGTAGGTGCTTGAAAATATGTTTGGTAATATTTAATTTCTTTTGGGGGGGTAATATTTAATTTCTATTCCTGGTCAGAAAAGTATATTTTGGCATACTTAGATTAAACAGATGTTTTCCTCATGTGATACAGACCATCACCAACCAACAATTCCCACATTTAGAAGCATTCTCAGAAAAACTAGGACCAACACACTGCCTATTTTCATGTGAATCTGGATATATAACTGGCTAGGACATCCAGAGTTTGGACCTATTCACACTTTCTCCCTGATTTCCTTGTGGCACTCTTCCTGTTGAATTCAGTCTTGTTGGGAATGTCAGTTACGGTGTCCTGCCCTTCTCTGACAAAAAGTTGGATGTGGGACCCATACTGGGAAAATGATACT